GGAGTCTAGGGAGGGCGGGGCTTGGGGAGGGCGGGGTTTGGGGAGGAGTCTCAGCCAAAATGCTAGAGTCCAGCCTCCAAAGCAGCCATTTCCTCCAGGAGGAAACTGATCTTGGTTGTCGCCTGGAGATCAATTGTAATAGTGGGGAAGTCTCCAGGTGCCCCCTGGAGGCTGGCGGCCATACTGCCACCCCGCCTAGGTCAGGAGCAACGCGCCCTCTAAGCTGTGGAGTCTTGTGAGCAAAAATCCTACTTTGTCAGGATTGTACCCCTCACATGCCTCTTCGAGAATCTTACCACAATTTCCCCAGGCAGATTATTTTTCTTTATAGATCCTGAATATGACCTATAGGCCACATCCATTTCGTTTAGCAAAAATTCCTCCTTCATATCTGACACTGGGGCCAATACTTCACTCATTAGTTTCTTAAGTTCCCCCTCCCTTTTTTCTGTTGTAGTTTTGTAGTGTTATTTTAAAAAATGCAATAAAAAATCCCCTCCGCGGGCTTTAAAAAAAAATAATCCTACTTTGTGAACTCCTGGCATTCGCTCAGATGATACCCCCAAAGGGTTCTGGCTTCTCCCTCACCCGGCCGGCGTCGAAGGCTGCGCTTCTGTACCAAGCCAGGACGTCTGGCCTGCCTCTAGATGACCGTTGTGTCCCCCTTGCAGATCCAAAAGGACCTGAAGGCTCACGGCATCAGCGTGTACCCCCAGGAGGAGTTTGACGATGACTCCGACGACAGGCTTTTGAATGACAAGATACGGGTAAGTGAGGGCAAACCGGGCCGGGGAGGAAGGCTCCAAGCTTAGCCGGGCAGAGCTGCTTTTCACCCTTACACACAAGCAGGGGTCATTTCCTGCGGGAGCGCACAGGAGCGGAGCTCCGGCAGTAAGGAGCCCAGGGGGGTGGGTGCATGTAACAAGCCCCGCCCCCTGCTCCCAGCAGCCCTCAGTCGGGCCACAAGGAGCAAGAAACAGCCAGGTAAGTTGCAGAGGCTCCCCCACATCCCACCTTCAGGTACAAGCTCTCCCTCCTCTGTGAGGGCAGATCTGCGCGCCCCCCCCCCCCCCCACCCCAGCCCCCCAACAAAAACAAGGGACCACTTTACAAGCTCTCCCTCCTCTGTGAGGACAGATCTGCACCCCCACCCCCCCAAATAGCTAGCAATCCTAAAAAGAGTCCAGTGGAGCCTGAGCAGTGGGTGTTGCCTTCTGACACACTTCCGGTGATGTCAGGGGGTGTGGCACATGCAAATGAATTATGCTAATGAGTTATGCTAATGAGCTCCTGCACCTCTTTTTCTACGAAATGATCCCTGCATCTTCCTTATCCGGAGATCAGTTGTGTTCTCCAGGCCGCACCGGGGAGTCGGCCGCCATAATGACAATTCTGGGTTGGAGAAATTCCTGGAGATTTGGGGTGGAGTCTGGGGAGAGTGATGGGCTCCTGCGGTGGCTCAAGTGGTTAAGACGCCAAGTTGCAGACCGGAAGGCTGGGAGTTCGGCAGTTCGAGACCCAAGTGCCGCGTGACGGAGCAAGCTCCCCCGTCTCCGGCCCCAGATTCTGCCAACTGAGCACTTCGAAAGCAAGGAATTGCAAGTAGATAAACAGGGACCACTTCGGTGGGAAGGGAACGGCGTTTCTGTGCGCCTCGGCGTCTAGTCATGCCGGCCACATGACCCCGGAAATGTCTTCGGACAGCGCTGGCTCTTCGGCTTGGAAACGGAGATGAACCCCAGAGTCGGATTCTACTGGCTTTCGAGCAAGGTGCAACTTTACCCGGGGAGAATGAGATTTGGGGAGGGAGCTTCGCGGGCTACAGTGCCACAGAGCCCCACCCTCCGAAGCAGCCATCTCCTCCTAATCTTTGTCACCTGGAGATCAGGTGTAATTCCGGGAAATCTCCGTGCCCCCACACATGGAAGTTGTCAACTCAGCCTATGTACTGCTGCAAAATTGGTAGTTGCCCCAAAACGGAAGAGTTCCGTACCGCTACAATAGGGACCATTGGTACCCCAAGAAATTTGCAATCTGTGCCTTTTAGAAGAAATGGCCGCAAAAATTCAAGATTCAGAATCGGGCTCTTGTTCTACTAATTTTGAGGCTGTGCGGTTTCCCTTTTTAAGCTTGGCGTCTCAACACGACCAGTCGAGATGGTTCTCGGATTGCACTAAATCGATGTTCTTGAACTGATTTGCCCGGGTCTTTTCCCTTCCCGCAAAGAACAAGCCGTGACGGCCTTGGGAGGAATGGAAGTCTTGTCATATTGCGCATCTGGGATTTCCTTTATGTGCTGTGTTTGTATATCTAGACTCAAGAATAACTTTTTCTCCCATTGACATTTTTATTCAGTTATAACAATCCAGTAACAAAACAATACAGTATATAAAATTACAATCAACGTAACACGTGTGTGTGACGGAGTACTATTATTATAGCTTGTTACAGAAGGGAAATGTTTTGCTGTATTAATATACGCCTTCAAAATAAAGCCTCTGAATTATTAGAAATATAACAAGTTTTGCTAGTATAAATTGTTGGGGACTATGTCCCTTTCTGATAAGTATTTCACTGCAGGTTAGTTGCTCTCCTGTTTGTAACATCTCTAGACGACGGGGACTAAACTCTGTTTCACCAGGACGTTTTACTGGCAATCTGGAGTCGTTCCCTTTCCAGTTTGGTGTAGTGATTAAATGCACGGACTGTAATCTGGGAGAACCAGGTTTGGTTCCCCACTCCTCCAGTTGCAGCTGCTGGATGACCTTGGGCAAGCCATAGCTCTGATAAGAGCTGTTCTTGAAAAAGAGCAGTTTCTCTCAGAGCTCTCTCAGCCCTACCTGCCTCACGGGGTGTCTGTTGTGGGGAGGGGAGGGGAAAGGAGACTGTAAGCTGCTCTGAGACTCCTTTGGGTAGTGAAGGGCAGGGTATAAATTTGATCTCTTATTCTTCTTCTTGTTAAAATAAGAATAGTTTAAAAAAACAACCCTCTACCTACGGAAAAGCCCTGGGGTAATCTGGTATTTCTGGCCACTGTGTGACACAGAGTGTTGGACTGGATGGGCCATCGGCCTGATCCAACATTGGCTCCTCTTGCGTTCTTATGTTCCTAACCCGCTCTCATCCTTCTGACCTAGGAGAAGATCCCTTTTGCCGTGGTGGGAGCGGACAAGGAGCACCAGGTGAACGGGAAGAAAGTCTTGGGCCGCAAGACCAAGTGGGGAATCATTGAAGGTAAACTCGGCTCGGGACGTCGGCGGAAGGCAAAGACAGACACCCTCCCCCTCCTCTGCCCCAGCGGAGAGAAGGAGAGACTCCCGAAACAGCCCATTAGTTGGCTTCTGTCTTCGGCACCTGCGTGGAACGCCCTTCCCGACCTCCGCACGCACCCCGCCCCGCATTCCACACTGACAGCTGTTTTTGACCCCCATCCAGGGGCGGGGGGGAGAGTTCTGCCACTCCCACCTTGGAAAAAGGCAGCTAGCCAGAGGTTGGGAGGGGCGGCGCATTGGGGAGGTGAGACCCTGGCAGGCGGAATCAGGAAGGGAGGGCTCTTTTTTCCATTCCCTAAAAAAAGATGAGCTCCGGGGGATGAGTTGTCCAGCTACCCAGCCTGGATATCTTAGTGGAACGAGAAAGCTTCTCAAAGCTGGCTAATATGGTAGCAGAGAGCCGGTTTGGGGTAGTGTTAGGAGCACGGAGTCTAATCTGGGGGGAACCAGGTTTGATTTCCCCACTCCTCCACATGCAACCAGCTGGGTGGCCTTGGGTCAGTCACAAGCTCTTTTAATGCCAGGAGCTCACAAAGTAGAATTGTTGCTCACAAGACTCCACAGCTTAGAGGGAACATTGCTCACAGGGTGTCTGTTGTGGGGAGGGGAAGGGAAAGGAGATTGTAAACCGCTCTGAGACTCCTTCGGGTAGTGAAGGGCAGGGTATAAATCCAACTTGAGAGCCAGTTTGGTGTGGTGGTTAAGAGCGGCAGACTCTAATCTGGGAGAACCGGGTTTGATTCCCCACTCCTCTACATGCAGCTGCTGGTGTGACCTTGGGTCAGTCACAAGTTCTCTCAGAGCTGGTCTCTCACGGGCAGTTCTTGAGAGAGCTCTCTCTCAGCCCCACCTGCCTCACAGGGTGTCTGTTGTGGGGAGGGGAAGGGAAAGGAGATTGTAAGCCGCTCTGAGACTCCTTTGGACAGTGAAGGGCGGGGTATAAATCCAACTTGAGAGCCAGTTTGGTGTCATGGTTAGGAGCGGCAGACTCTAATCTGGGAGAACCGGGTTTGATTCCCCACTCCTCTACATGCAGCTGTTGGCGTGACCTTGGGTCAGTCACAAGTTCTCTCAGAGCTGTTCTCTCACGGGCAGTTCTTGAGAGAGCTCTCTCTCAGCCCCACCTGCCTCACAGGGTGTCTGTTGTGGCGAGGGGAAGGGAAAGGAGATTGTAAACCGCTCTGAGACTCTGAGTGAAGGGCAGGGTTATAAATCCAATCTCTTCTTCTTCTTGGGTCAGTCCCAGTTCCCTCAGAGCTGTTCTCTCAGGAGCAGTTTCTGTCAGTGGCTCTTACGATTGACGGCAACTGCAAACGTAGCTCTCCACAAGCGGTAGCGTGGAAACCACCGTAATAGATACTAAGGACCTTCTATGAGGTTTGCCGGGTCAGAGCAAATGCTGTCTCTTTTCCAACAGTGTAAGTGGGAGTCTCTAGTTCCAGCTCCTGCCAGCCTAGCAGTTCGAAAGCAAGACATTGCAAGTAGATAAATAGGTACCACTTTGGTGGGAAGGTAACAGCGTTCCATGCGCCTCGGTGTCTAGTCATGCCGCCCACATGACCACGGAAAACGTCTTCGGACAGCGCTGGCTCTTCGGCTTTGAAACGGAGATGAGCACCGCAACCCTAGACTCGGACTCGACTGGCTTTCAAGCAAGGGAGACCTTTACCTTTATTTTAAGTGGGAGATTATGAAATTGTCCATGGGAGGAGGAGGAGGAGATTGGATTTATAACCCGCCCTTCACTACCCGAAGGAGTCTCAGAGCGGCTAACGATCTCCTTCCCCTCCTCACAACAGGCACCCTGGGAGGCAGATGGGGCTGAGAGAGCTCTTTCGAGGACTGCTCCTGAGAGAACATCTCTGAGAGAACACGTGACTGACCCAAGGTCACGCCAGCAGCTGCACGTGGAGGAGTGGGGACTCAAACCCGGTTCTCCCAGATTAGAGTCCGCGCTCCTCACCACGACACCCAACTGAGTCACTCTCCTCCCTTTCGCTAGCACCACTGTTGCCCATCTCCACCCCCACCCCCTGCCGTGAGGTCCAGCACAAAGCGAGAGACCCAGAGATCGGTCCTGCCCTCATCTGAGTCCGTGTGACGATCGCTCAAAGCAGAGAGGCGGTCTCCGGCTTCGGGCTGGGCCCTTAGGAAGTTGCAGGCCGCACAGGGAACGCAGACTTCCTCCCAGTCTCTGCTGGTCATCAGGAGTAGAATGGTTGGCACAGAAAGTTTTCTGGTACGTGGAGGGCTGGCACATGCCCAACCGCATCAGCAACTGGCACAAGCCGTACCCTGCCCAGCGTCGACGCCGGTAACCTTGGCTGTTCGGCGCGTCCAGCAAGCATCGCACACCCCTCGCCAGGGGAGCCTTCGTGGGTGAAGGAAGCCCCGGGTGTGGAAATTGGAACGCCCTGCGCTATTGAAACCTCGTTTCCTTAGAGGAACCCAAAACGTGCAATAAATACCGGCTTCCCCCGGTTAGTTCCGTTCCTCCAAGCAAAAGGCGTGCGTGACCCAGCCCAGGCCGCCTCTGGGTGCCAGGCGTTTTCTCGGCATGAGCTCGGATGACTGTGTCCCGCATCACCAGTCCCGCAGCTTCGGTCCCCGAGTTGCTAAAAGATGTACATCAAAGTTTGTGAGAAAGAGGATCTTCAGCGCTTGTGTTCACTGAACATAGGGATCTGCTGCCCCCTAGTGTTCCGCAGGCTCCTTGCAGACTTGGCTCTTTCCTGCTTCACCCTCCCATGGGATATTATTCTCACTTTTCCAACCCAGGAGCTCTTGTTTATTCACATTATTTACAGTCCACCTTTCTCACTGGGAATCAGGGCAGATTACGCAGAGCGAGTCAATTCCATCAACCAGACAGGACATTCAATAAACAGTGAAGTAGGATTTCGGGTTCTAGAGCCAACCAGAAGTCTAAAAAACAGAACTGAGGCCCCGCAAAGTGTTAATGTAATCAGGGGTTGGCTACTGTGTAAGACGGGATGCTGGACTGGATGAACCCCTGGTCTGATCCAGCAGGGCTCTCCTGATGTCCTTCTCAGGGGAAGGCCTCGGCCTCTCTGCCCTGTTGTTGGCCCTCCAGAGGAACTGGTTGGCCCCTGTGTGAGGCAGGATGCTGGACTAGATGGACCACTGCTCTGATCCAGCAGGGTTCTTCTGATGTTCTTATCAGGGGAAGGCCTCAGCCTCTATGCCCTGTTGTTGGCCCTCTAGAGGAACTGGTTGGCCCCTGTGTGAGGCAGGATGCTGGACTAGATGGACCACTGCTCTGATCCAGCAGGGTTCTTCTGATGTTCTTATCAGGGGAAGGCCTCAGCCTCTATGCCCTGTTGTTGGCCCTCTAGAGGAACTGGTTGGCCCCTGTGTGAGGCAGGATGCTGGACTAGATGGACCACTGATCTGATCCAGCAGGGCTCTTCTTATGTTCTTAAGAGGGGAAGGCCTCTGTCTCTCTGCCCTATTGTTGGCCCTCCAGAGGAACCGGTTGGCCCCTGTGTGAGACAGGATGCTGGACTAGATGGACCACTGCTCTGATCCAGCAGGGCTCTTCTGATGTTCATATCAGAGGAAGGCCTCGGCCTCTGTGCCCTGTTGTTGGCCCTCCAGAGGAACCGGTCGGCCACCGTGTGAGACAGGATGCTGGACTAGATGGACTTTCACTGGTCTGATCCAGCAGGGCTCTTCTTACATTCTTCTCAGGGGAAGGCCTCAGCCTCTATGCCCTGTTGTTGGCCCTCTAGAGGAACTGGTTGGCCCCTGTGTGAGACAGGATGCTGGACTAGATGGACCCTCACTGGTCTGATCCAACAGGGCTCTTTTTAAGATGAAATTGAGTGTGGGAATAGCTGTGTGGGTGGGCACTTTTCCTCTCTGCCACTTATCTCACACACCTCCCCAGCAGTTTCCCCTCCTACAACATGGCAAGTGTGGGTCCAGGGTTCCAGCTGGGAGAGGGGGAGAAATGTATACAAGGGGGGGGTGAGAGGCTTTCCTCCCACGTGCTGCTTCCACATTGCAAATCCACTCCCTTCCCGTTGCGGCTTTGCGGAATTTGGCAATACAGAGAGCTTTCATATGTGGTAGACATGTGATAGGGTTAAAAAGCATTGGTCCTGGATTCATGAAACGTTAGAAAAAATGTTAGCATGTACCACGCCATTTATACCCGGATTATTTCTATTAAATATAATGCCACAAAACTGTAAGAAGCAGAACTTTTATTTCACTACACATGTAGTGACCACTGCAAGAATATTATATGCCACATATCAGAGGGGAAAGTACCCTCAAAAGAAGAAATGATCAGTAGATTTCTTGAAACTGCAGAGATGGACAAACTCGCTTTAATTTTGAGAGGACAAGAGGAAGGAAGGAAGATTGCAAAATACGGGGTCAAGATTTTATAAATGGCTGGAACAGTAAATGAACAATTTCGACCTATAGTCCTATTAGAAGAACGATAGGATACATTTTAAAAATACAATGCTGAATAATTATACAAAAATGTATGGTGATAAAAATGGCCAATGTACAAATAGACAGTGTAGGAGGTAACAGAATAGATATAACAACAATGTACTGGGGGGGGAACACCCCAATTTGTATGTATTTATGTTTGTTTGTTTATTATATTTATACCCCGCCCTCCCCGCGAACGGGCTCAGGGCGGCTTACACAGGCACAAAGTGCATACAATATATAAAACAGTTAAAATCCCATATAGATAAACCAGTTAAAATTCAAATCTATCGGAGCACGACTAAAAACTCCCAATATCTTGCGTAGCAGAAGGGCAGGCCAGGACCACAGCTGGATGTTACCCAGCCCTCTGGCAGTATCGTTGTATAATGGAGCAGTGGTGGTAGTGGCGGAAGAGCTCCGTCTCAAAAGCCTGGCGGAAGAGCTCCGTCTTGCAGGCCCTGCGGAACTGCACAAGGTCCCACAGGGCCCTGATCTCCTCTGGGAGCTCATTCCAATATACAATTATTGTTTGTCTGATATAAAATAAAAATTCTTATTTTTTTTTTAAAAAAAGGCAACATGGGGAACTGCCCTTGGGGGCTTCGGGCCGAGTCCCTGGCACGTGGCGCCCCCTGCAGGGTGTTCCTTTACTCCTCCCAATGCTTTTCTGCTGCTGCCGATGGAAGGTGCTCGAGGCGTTTCCCAGTGGGGATGCTCACCCGTTTCCTTGTGTTCTTCTCTTTCAGTGGAGAACCCGGCCCACTGCGAGTTTCCTCTGCTGCGGGACCTCCTAATCCGGTGAGCTACGGAAGGGAGGAGACTTGGGGAAGTCCAATGATTCATGCGGGGCGGGGGAGCTTTTCAGGACTGACTCCCAGGAGAGGGGGCACAGATGGTCCCTCTTCTGCTCCCACTCCATAGCGAAAGCTTTGCCAACCGAGAAGAACCGTGCCCGGAATGAGGGGACCGATGCTACAGCGGCTGCTCCCGCATCACTATCTCCCGGCGGCCACGATGGCCTTCCTTCCTGGAGGATTTCTAATGAGCCCGCTTGGCGTAGTGGTTAGGAGGGCGGACTCTAATCTGGGAGAACCGGGTTTGATTCCCCACTCCTCCACAGGCAGCTGCTGGTGTGACCTTGGGTCAGTCGCAAGCAGCGTTTCCTCTAAGCTGAGTTAGTGTGAGCCAGCTCACAGTTTTTTAGCCTCCGGCTCACACAGTTTTGTCTCAGCTCAGGGAGGATGGGGCTCCAGAGCAGACTAATTGATGCAGTAGCCAAATAGCTCACTCGCAACTTTAATGACAGTAGCGCACAAAGTAGAATTTTTGCTCACCAGACCCCACAGCTTAGAGGGAACATTGGTTACAAGTCCTTTCAGAGCTGTTCTCTCAGGAGCAGTTCTCGAAAGAGCCCCACCTACGTCACAGGGTGTCTGTTGAGGGGAGGGGGAGGGAAAGGAGTTTGTAAGCCGCTCTGAGACACCTTTGGGTAGTGAATGGTGGGTTATAAATCCAACCTCCTCCTCCTCCTCCTCCTCCTCGTCTTCTTCCTCTTCTTATTATTGGTGTGATCATTGAGAACCATCTTCAGGGGGCCAGGGCAGGTGGACAGGAATGTCAGACCTGAGTCCTAGACTGTTAAGAGGGCGATAATTGAAAGGTGGGCATCAGGAAACAGGAGTCAGATTGGGTGCCCAGATAAAAGTCCGGACTCTATGGCCCTTTCCAGGTCATGGGGAGCCAACCTCCAGCTCGGGTTGGCCCAGTCACTCTGAAGATCTGTCAGTGTCCAGGGAATGCTCCAAGCTGTAGCCCTGATGGCTCGTCCTATAAATCAGGAACCCGCGGAATTGTGGGTTCCCAGTTCCGGTTTGGTGGCTCCTGCTAGGGAAATGGGGAGGAGGCAGCCAGGAAGGGGGGGTGGATGGCGCAGCCTGCAGTGTTACTTCATTAAGCGGCTCTAACCTCTTCCGTTGGTTGTCAGGTCTCACCTCCAGGACCTCAAAGAGATAACCCACGCAGTGCATTACGAGCGATACCGCATGTACCGCCTCAACAAGAGCAACCTGCCGGCCAAGGGCAGCGAGCGACTGGGCTCGGTCAACGGGGAGCCGGAAAGTCACCTCTGAACTGTGGGAGGCAGCACAGCCTCGTGCCCCTTCCCCTACCCCGTGGACTTACTTCTTTGTCCTCCTGAGCAAAATTCCTGCGAGACATACCCCCCTGCCTGCCCCTTCCCCTACCCCTACTGAGCATATGTAGCCTCTCTGACTTTGAAGCGGCAGCCAAAGTACTGGACGCCTTCCCCTTCCACCTGTCTTCCTCACAGTTAAATGCCTCGGGACCCTTGAAGGATGGGACCATTCAGCCACCAGCTTCCCTGGGAGTTTCACCCGATTCCTTTGCCCGGTCTCTCGTTCTCCCAGAAAGATCCCTTCCCATTGTCCCCTTCCGGGGGGACAATCAGTTTGGCCTGCGCTCGCTCAGATTATCCCTATCATCTGTCGGCAGTTTCTACCCTAGACCCCGACACTACTCCACCATCTCATCCTCTTTCCCCTTCTTGCCAAGCACTGGAGGCCTTAAGATGACCCCGTTTCTGCTCACCGTTCACCCGAGAACACCTGTGGGCATCTGAAGGGTCCGCGCCGCACGCTGCCCGTAATCTCTCCGAGCGAGGTTGGAACACCCGCCGACTGTTTCCGAGTTCTGTACATACAGTGGCCGTTTTGCCACAGAGACAATTTTCTCGGCCTCTGATGTTCTTCCGGGACTTGGGCCAGTTCTTCGGACTTCTCTCCCTGACTCGTAAGGATTCGGGATCGGGGGGCAGATTGGTGACGCCCCGGAGACAGCCGCGACCAAACCGTTATTATCGGCAACTCGTTGGCCAGAGAGCAAAGCTCCATCTGTGCGTCTCTCATCCTGGAGAGGACTGGGGCATCCCTCGGCCTGACCCCTTGTTGATGCAATATGGGAGGACCGCCCGAGAACGCCTGCTATGATCCTGTTGCTGTCGGGTGGATTCTCCATCTCCGATTAACACATTAAAAGAGTGTCTTAGAGGTTTCCGGCCTTGTGTGTGTACAGTCCTTCAAGATAGTGAGGGGGGGCCCCACTCCTTATAAGCATTGCATGCTGGGAATGACTGCTGAGTACCCGATATTGCTGAAGCTGTACCGGGAATTGCATCGTTCGGGTACGGAAGAGTTCGGGTGCCGGTGTTACCACTTTAGAAAGGGGGCAGGTGTTGGAAACGCAACATGGCGGGCCCCAAAATGTAGTAAGAAGCTATCTGCCATCCAGGCTCCACATCGGGGTGGGTCGTGCTGGGTGTGAGAGAGCCGTTCCCCCCCTGTTGAAACACGGAACTCCCCCAGGTACACAGGAAAGCGGGGGGTTCTTAATCTCCAAAGTGGGCGAGGTGTGGCCACAGATGGCTTCCCATAACCCCCTTTCTACCAGCCAGAGTTCTGATAAAAGGGGAGAGTTAGGGACAGAGGCCACAAGAAGGGTAGGCGAATGGAGTTGTTGTCCTTTGTTATCCCAGCGTACCGTTTTTTTATTAGAACCTTCCGGTGCGAACCGGGCAACCCCCCTTTTTGAATATCCCCCAAATTGGCACCATCCTTTTGCGCAGAAAAGGGAAGGGTGTTTTGAATACCACAGAGGAGGGCAGGATCCCCCTTCCCCGTGGGTGGTCTGTCTCCGCACCGCTTCTCTCCGGGTGCATGCCTACTTAGAGTGCCAATATCGGAAGCGACCTTGGCGGAGAGAAAAGCGTTATGGGGGAGACGAGCTGTTTGGAGATAGATCGAGGGCCTTTGCCTACTTTTGCTTTTAAAATCAGATACCTCCCCTATCCCCTTTTGCACGATCCAGACGGCTCCGCGTTCAAATGCCCGGAACCGCCTCCATCTTGTCTAGTTTGACCCCCCCCCCTGAGACTTTTTCTTCATGTATTCTGGGAATCAAAGCTTTCTTCGGCATCTTTGCAGTCCCCTGGGAGGCACGCCGAGGAAGAGCCGATGTCTTTTAATTCCTCGTACCTAACTCAAAAGATCTTGCCGTGCTTTGCGTGAGCGTTTAATTGTTTCTAATGCGGGGCGGAGAGGTACCCTTTTCCAATGCAAACCGCTTTCCGTTGGAAGGGAACGCCCAATGTCACTGCTTAGTCAAGAGTCTGCGGATGCCGTTCATTGTAAGCAGGCGAGATTTCGCTCGATCTCTGGGTTTTGATGAAGCGCATGCTTTGTAGTCCTGCTGGATCTGGACTAAAGGAACAGCAGGCTTGGGCAAGGAGAGAATCGGCTTTGGAAAATGCAGGTCTCCAACTCCATACATGGCGATCCCCTCTCGCTTTAAAGAACTAGACAAACAAACAATCTTTACACGGAAGGCCTTTTTAGTCAGCCTCTATGC